AAGAGGGGAAGAAAACAGCAGGGGGGGTTGTTTTGTGTCTGATTCTCTCTGGGCCATCCCACATTCCCAGGAGGAACCTGAGTCTGCAGAGGTCTTCCTGCCAAGCGCCCAGCAAACCTGCAAAGACGCACCCCCAAGTTCTGCCAATAAGGATCGGCTCTCACAGATAACCGATCTCCATCCAGCACACCCGCTGACGGACGGACAGGGATGGCTGCGGCCCACCGCTGGGTTGAGAGTGGAGGGAATGTGGTCTGAACCACTAAAGTCCCCGTCTGAGCCTCAAGGAGGGAGCACGTGCTTACTGTGTGAGGCTTGGGTTCTAGCCGGACCATATTTGGCTTTTTTTTTTTTTTTTTGGTTTTTCGAGACAGGGTTTCTCTGTGTAGCCCTGGCTGTCCTGGAACTCACTCTGTAGACCAGGCCGGCCTCGAACTCAGAAATCCGCCTGCCTCTGCCTCCCAAGTGCTGGGATTAAAGGCGTGCGCCACCACCGCCCGGCTTATATTTGGCATTTTTAAGCCACTTCAGATCCCCAACCCGCGGCTCTACTGGTCCTCTTGATAACACCAACCTTTCACCTAAGTTCCTTCTCTCCCCCTACCAGTGGCCCACTGATTGATTCCCAGTCCGGATTGGTCTGGGGCCCCTCGCGGGTCAAGTATATTCAGGGGCTCTTAGGAGTTGGAAAAGTAGAGAAATGAGTCTTCAGTATAGGGTCTGTTTGAAACAAGGTATCTTTCCATCAAACAAATCACCTTTAACACAACTTGTGTGGCCACTGTGTTATACTCCGGAATTCTTATACTGAGCTTAAAGCTTGTATTAGCTCGCCTGTATGTAGTTTGAATAAGAACGGTCCCCACGGGCTCATAGAGTCACAGGCTTAGTTATTAGGGAGCAGCACCACTTGAGAAGGATTAGGAGGTGTGGCCTTGCTGGAGGAAGTGTGTCACTGGGGGTAGGCTTTGAGGTTTCAAAAGAGCAAGCAAGCCCCTCCCCCTCCCCCTCGCTTTCCGGTAGATTAAGACGTAGAACTCTCAGCTCCTTCTCCAGCGCCATGCCTATCTGCCTGTTGCCATGCTTCCTGCCATGATGATAACTGACTGAACCTCTGAAACTGTAAGCCAGCCCCAATTAAACGTTAACTGGAAACTTGAGGTTCTTAGAGATAACAAAGTGGCAGAGGCTTTGACCTTGAGCCTAACCGGGTGGCCCGTCATGAGGTGCCGTGAACCTAACTTAGTCCTGGTGAGGGCCTGGGGGGTCCTCCCAACACCCACCTTCCAATGCAGATGAACAGCAGGAGGCTGCAGAGGGAGAAGATGGCGAAGCACAGAGCCATGGTCTTCTTACGGCCCAGGCGGTCGATGACCCACAGAGTCACAAGGACACCTGCCCAGAGAGTGAGACAAGGTAGCAGCTTCTCAGCTGGTTCCTAATGACCCACCCCATGCCATCCTCTGCCCCTGGGAGTGGACCAGCCCAGCAAATCCATGAGCTCCAGGTTCTGGCCTAGCTCAGCTTTCAGACGTTACGACAGGCTCTGGACCAATGCCTGCTGCATCTGTGTGGGATTTGGTGAAACGGGAGACCTGGGAAGAAGCCACCCCCGGGTCTCTGATCTCTTCACAGCAACCAGGAGATGAGTGTGTACTGTTTCAGGTCTCTAAGGGAAAGGGCCATGGGTTAAGAGGCAACTGATACGGGCACTGACGGGAACCTGAAGGATGGTGTACTGGCTGGCTTCGTGTGTCAGCTTGGCACGAGCTGGATTTATCACAGAGAAAGGAGCCTCCCTTGAGGAAATGCCTCCAGGAGATCCAGCTGTAAGGCATTTTCTCAATTAGTGATCAAGGGTGGGAGGGCCCTTTATGGGTGGGGCCATCCCTGGGCTGGTGGTCCTGGGTTCTATAAGAAAGCAGGCTGAGCAAGCCAGGGGAAGCAAGCCAGTAAGTAACATCCCTTCATGGCCTCTGCATCAGCTCCTGCTTCCTGCCCTGCTTGAGTTCCAGTCCTGACTTCCTTTGGTGATGAACAGCAATGTGTTGCTTCTTGGTCATGATATTTGTGCAGGAATACAAACCCTGACTAAGACAGATGGCATCTACTGCAACCAGGCAGCAGAACACCCTGGCTGGAACTCACACCTAGTTGAATCTAAGTCTTCTTTTTTTTAAAAAAAAAAATTGGTTTTTCAAGACAGGGTTTCTCTGTTGTAGCCCTGGCTGTCCTGGAACTCACTCTGTAGACCAGGCTGGCCTCGAACTCAGAAATCCGCCTGCCTCTGCCTCCTAAGTGCTGGGATTAAAGGTGTGAGCCCCCGCTACCCGGCTGGATCTAAGTCTTATAAATACTGAGTTGCCTTGTAACCCGGAGCTGGTCTTCTCTGAGCCTTGTTTTCTTTATCTATGCATGGAACTAGTAAAATGGTATGTTTCCATTTCCTGTTTCCATAGAGGCAGTACAGCATAGTGCTTTTAATTAGTATATTATTACTATATAACCATAATCATATTTTGAGAATATACTTATATATCTATTATTCATCAATAGACCTTCTAAATTAAATACCACTGGCTGCCTTTGATCCTAGCATTCAAGATGTAGAGGCAGGAAGATCTTCTGTGACTTTGAGGTTAGCCTGGTCTACATAGTGAGTTTCAGGGTAGCCAAGGCTACATAGTGAGACCAGGTCTCAAAAAAAGTAAAAGGAGCCGGGCAGTGGTGGCCCACGCCTTTAATCCCAGCGCTGGAGAGGCAGAGGCAGGGGGATCTCTGTGAGTTTGAGACCAGCCTGCTCGACAGGGTGAGTTCCAGGACAGCCAGGGCTACACAGAGAAACCCTGTCTCAAAAATAAATTAATTAATTAAATGTTAGCAGAGCCCTGTTTTCACACATTTATTTAATTATCGCTTATTGGGTGTCAGGATCTACTCTAGGAGGGTGATATATATTCCGAACAAAAGCAAATATAGCAAGAAACAAAGAGCCGACATTTCAGAGCGGTCACGTCACAGGAAGCTAAAACCATCCAAGCCTGTGCTCTCCCTTCCTGATGTTATTGAGGGAGACATTTTTAGAATGACTGTCAGTGTGGGGCACAATTCTGAGCTCTGCCAGAAACTGGGACGTTCAGTGTCTCAGGCAAACCCTTACATGGCTCTGGGACAAGGGTGTAAGGTCAAGGTGTTGTCTGTGGAGGTGACCCAGGCAAGATGGTGTAGCGAGGATTCTGCAGACTGCTCGGCTTTGGCTGAGCAGAAGAGAGTAACTGGAAAAAAATGGGAAGTGGGAGGAGCCAAAGTGATGTTGGGCTACCTTTAGTTCCTTTTAATAGTATTGGTTCAGCATGGGATCCGAAATAGTCCTTCTCGGATGGGGAGGGAGGGAGGAGGGAGGGAGGGAGGGTGTTTAAGTTTGGAAGTTTGATGCCCCCCTTCCCACATATGTGGCCTTTTCCAGGGCACATGGTGACTGGGGAGGGTCCTCCGTGGTTCCGTCTCTACATAACACCTCAGCCGCTCTCTTCTCCTAGGCTACCACTTCAGAATTGTTTATACAACAGTTTTCGAGAGCAAGGACATTGTCCCCTCTGGAGCAATGGCAGAGGACCTGGCAGCCAGTTATACAGTCCTGTGCTTCTTAAGCTTGAGGTTCCTCAGTACCGTGGTCTGGACAGAGTTTGAGGGTACACCGCTAGGAACCATGTGCTGGAGCTTGGCCTCAGTGTAGTGATGTCAAGATGGACGGTGGCTACGGCCCCTGTCTCTCTGGCTTCTTGTCTCTCCTTCCATGGGCCCTCTCCATGTGCCACTGTCCACTAGGAGGTACTGGCCAGAGCCAAGCCTGATGCTGGCTTCAGAACTGCTCACTAACCCCACTTCTTTGTAAACTACCTAACCTCAGGCATTTTGTTACAGTAACAGGGAAGAGTCGGCCTCCCTCCCCTCCACCCCCACACCAACAATTAGGGCAGTGGGACGGGACATTATTATGACCCTTGCTACAGTATCAAGCTGCAGTAAGGTTCTGTACACTGCATTAGTCTTGCAACTATCTTGCTGCTTGCTGCCACGGCCCAGGAGTCTTGCTCTTTCAACAGAATGCTTGACCCTAGCCAGCCTAAGAAAGGTTAGCCTGCACGCAGAGTCCTACCCCTAGGCCTCCACTGTAAAATGTGCAGCACGGGGACGTATTTATTTTGAATCCTGAACAGGTGGCAGGTTTCTCTGCCCCAGCCTCACCTGGGAACTCAGACAGGGTGGTCCATAGCAGGTCCATGTAGTCCTCTTTGCTCAGGTACTCACAGGCCAAGCTGCATTTGGCTTCCACTGCCTTCTTCCGGCTGGAGACTAGTGGTGGGGAGAGAGGTGCAGGGGTGCTTGGTCACACAGTTCTGCACTGCAGTCTCCTGTATCCTATCCCTTCTTGCCTGTGAACAGTGGGCTGGGTAACCAACCATAAAAGATTCCAGTCTCCAGGACTTGGGGGTTGCCGTGCTGGGGTTTGGGTCTGAGACACCACAGAAAGAGCTGGGTTAACAGACGGGCTGAGGGGTGAGTCCCGAGCAAAAGACAGAGCAGTAGCTTGGCCTCTCTGAACCCTGCTTCTGCCCACTAGTGAGGTTTTATGCATTTTCTCCTATTTTGAGGTAGGCTGTGTCAGCACAGAGCAAAAGCAGACTGCCTAGCGCCTAATGCAATCCTAGGGCCGCGTTACGTCAGACTTCCCCACCCCCCTTAACACAGGCAGGACCCACTAAGGTAACTTCTGATTTCTGCCACATGATAATGAGCCCTCTGTATAATTAGCACCTCCAAATTGCCTGCTCCCACCACACCATGAAGTGTCCCGGGAAACCCCACAGAAAGACAGCGAACATATTAAAGCCTCGTCCAGGGAGAGTCATGACTGGTTCCTGAGGTTCTTATCCTTCCCCTTCCCGGACCTCAACTCCTGAATAATCCTCCCCACTGAAGTTGATCCATAAAAAGAGAATCCAGTAGTCTCCCTGTGTGGCTGTAGCACTCTGTCTCTTGAGACCCTATACCCACCCTGGGGGATGTGCCGGTGTCCTTAATTCTCATGTCCAATGGAATCATCCTGAAATACCGCACTGCACTAGCAAGATCCAGGCTTCACCAGGCCTTTGAAAAGGGCTCCTTGGCTGCTACCCCACCCCTGCCACAGCATCCAGTCACTGGACCCCTACTGTTTACCCCAGGAAATCTCTAGCTGGATGAAGGGGACATTTCCCTACAACTGATGCATTAAAAAGTATTTACATGAGTGCACACACATGTACATGACACACATATACATTCTCTCTCTCTCTCTCTCTCTCTCTCTCTCTCTCTCTGTCACACACACACTTGCATCTCTTGTATGGGGGTTCCTGCTAGGCTACACTAGGATTGCATAGCCCTCAAAGACCCCTCAAAGCTGGAAACATCTGCTGTGTAGCTCTTGACAGAAAAAGCCAACCAACCTCTGCCTTCTAACAGTGCAGTGGGTCCTCCGATTGGCTCAAATGTCCACTGCCTGAGGGCTGTCCCCTCTGCTCAGTCAGTTACCTCACACACCCACCCCCAATCAGATCTGCAACTGGGTACTTCTGCGGGGCTTAGCTTAGCCACTTATTAACACCCCCAGTTAGCACGGACAATACTATCTCTTCAAAGTCTTATACCAGTAAGACCCTTTCATGAGTGAATGAGTGAACTGTGGGAGATATTGAACCCAGGCCTCATGTCAGCTAAGTGCATGCTTTATCCCTGGGGTCCCTTCCCGTCACCCGGTGTATAAAACTACCATCCACAAGCCCTTAGGCCCAAGGGTAAGTTCCTTTATCTTCTGCCTTGACTTCAGTAACAGAATTCAGTGTCGCCCTCAAAACAGAACGGACCAGGAGGCTGAACACGGGCACACTGTGCAGCTTTTTATTTCTTCAATTTGTCTGGTGATTCCTGCCTCCTTATGCAGCCCTCTGGGGAGCTTTTAAACCTGACTAAATGCGTGAGCCTCACCCAGCTGATCACCTTCGTCTGGCGAGGGTTTAAATGGCACTGACACCGGGTCAAAGTTCCCAGGTGGGGAGTGTGGACGAGTGGTAGAGCGCTTGTCTAGCATGTGGGGTGGGGATGGGGAGATGGGTTCCACCCTGAGTGGGGAATTCCCCTGTGGGGCAGGGGTGGAGCTCCCCAGATGGAAAGGTGCTTTGGGATCCTTATGGGGGTGGTGGGCTTGGAAAGATTATTTTAGCTATGTGCAGTAACTCGCCTTCAAAGCTGTCAGTGAAAACTGAATCAGGAGACCCCCAAGGCTAAGATGGCCCAGTGTTTGGGGATCTTCTGTAGACAAGCTCCAAACTGAGTTCCTGACCAGCCAGAAGCAGTAGCTCCCGGGAGGGACTCCAGGACACTTGTTGGCCTTTCTAAGCCAGGAGCTCTTCCTTGTCACACTTGTGTGTGATGTTGTTGCTTATGTTCTTGAGAACACTTCTGTCTGAGCGCCAGCCTGGCTCCTGCTCCATATGGGGCCGCAGGGCTAATCTTAGACAGGGTCTAACCTGGGAGGCTTATGGAAACGTAATGCATTCTGTTTTGTAGAATGAGATTTCTCCACTTCTACAACTGCTCTTTCTTTCTGTATGTTTTTCTTGATGTTTTGTTTTATTTTTGTTTTTGTTTTTCGAGACAGGGTTTCTCTGTGTAGCCCTGGCTGTCCTGGAACTCACTCTGTAGACCAGGCTGGCCTCGAACTCAGAAATCCACCTGCCTCTGCCTCCCCAGTGCTGGGATTAAAGGCGTGCACCACCACTGCCCGGCTTATTTTTGTTTTTTTGAGACAGGGTTTCTCTGTGTAGCTTTGGCAGTCTTGGCACTTACTCTGTAGACCAGGCTGGCTTCAGACTCACAGAAATCCACCTGCCTCTGTCTCCCAAGTGCTGGAATTAACGGTGTGCACCACCACTGCCTGGTCCTACAACTGTTCTTAGAAAGCCCAATAGAGGCCGGGCGGTGGTGGCGCACGCCTTTAATCCCAGCACTTGGGAGGCAGAGGCAGGCGGATTTCTGAGTTCGAGAGTTCGAGGCTAGCCTGGTCTACAGAGTGAGTTCCAGGACAGCCAGGGCTACTCAGAGAAACCCTGTCTCGAAAAACCAAAAAAAAAAAAAAAAAAAAAAGAAAGCCCAATAGAAGGCTGGGTATGGTAGCTTTTGAAGCCAGCCTTGTCTACCTAGAGAGTTCTGGGCTAGCCAGGGCTACATAGGCCTTATCTAAAAACATAAAAAGCCTGTTAGGGAGCTAGGCACGTTGGTGGTTCATTTCTGTAACCCAGCATTACCTAAGCATGGTGTAGTACATGCCTGTAATCCCAGCACTGAGGCGGCTCAGGCAGGAGCCTAATTAGTTTGAGGCCAGCCTCTGCCTTAAAAACAAAACAAAAATTTGATATTTTATTTATTTAGGTGTTTTTGTGTGTGGTGGGGAATGAACCCAGGGCTTCACACATGCTAAATGGGGGTGCCCCCTTTGCTCTTAAGAGTGGGTTCTGTACAAGCTGGCTGCGTTCTCCTCAAGTGAGCTTTATCAGAGATGCCTCTGTTTATCCGTACACTCTGCTAACTTCAGAGCTGGAGCCCTGACAGGTGGGGGCACATGCCAACTCTGGCCTCACAGAGTTGCCTAGAGTCTTGGGAACTTGGAATTCGTGCCACGACCTTGCAGGGGATAGAGTGTGGCTGCTTGTGGGGTGGGGATGGGGGTGAAGGTGGAGGGAAGTGGTACTTACTGCTGCAGACATCTCCCGCCTGGAAGAGTTCTGTGGTGAGCAGAACCAAGCCGTAATAAGAGAAGGCATTGGAGAACCTGCAGAGGGCAGTGAGCACAGAGACTTCAGAGAGGTCAAGGCCCCTCCCGGCCCCGAAGGTCTACTCCTTCCCCAGTGTCTGCAGGAGTTAGAGCCTTGTCTCTCAGGGACCTTGAGCAGGAAGGGGCTGTGAAGCAACCTGACACAGTAGAGGGACACGGTCCTGCGTTCTCGAAAGGACCAAGACAGACAGGGTGCCATTCCCAATGGCACACACCAGGGCCTTCTAGGCTGGCACGGGGGACTAAACATGATTTTTTTTTGGACTTCAGAGTGTGGCGTCACATCTTCATTCCTGCATGGAATCTAAATTCAGGGTGCACAGATCCCGGACATCCACCAGACAGCCACTCGGGGACTCAGACGCAACCAGAGGCGGAAGGTGAGTCTCGCTCACGGTTACAGTGGTGGCTGCCGGTAGCAGCTTCTCAGGTTCGGTCAGCCTGACTAAATAAAGCAGAGCTGTTTTGATTGGCTAAAAACATTTCCTTCATCCTCTAGGTCTATTTCTTTAGCCCAGCCTGTGTTCTTGGTCACTGTAACTTCAAGCACAACACTGCTGTAGTGTGTTAACATGTGAATGTCAGACACAGAAGGTAGGAGGAATCCTCGCTTGGCTCATGGCAGTAACATGTATGAAAGGCCGTGGCCTTTCTAACTTTGGCACAGCCCGGTGGCCTGAGAGTCGCTCTCTGATCTGAGGAATGAGCCCCCTAGTGCCCTGGGATTTAAACCAGCACTCAGCGCTGGCTCAACACGGGGAACTAGAAAGCAGAGTTGCCAGAAGCAAGCAAACAAACTACGATGCTGAAGAGCTACAAGGCTGACAGATTGATGCGGAAAACCAAAATTGTCCTGGGCTATCTGAAGAGCCATGTGTTTGCCCACCATCTGTGTCTGACCTACTCAACTGTCAAGGAAAACCGCTGGGTTGTATTAACTTAGGGGACCACTCGCTTCTACCAGGAAGTAGATAGGAAGACAGATTAGACAGATAGATGATAGATAGATAGATAGATAGATAGATAGACAGATAGATAGATGGAATAAAAGCTAAGAATGCCATCAGGTTGCAGTAACCAATACCGGAGAATGGAGACTTGGCAAATACCCTGATTTATGGCTTTCCTATTTTTGTGACTGTATTTCTTTATTTAACCACTTCCACAAGGGGATACATTATATTTGCTTCTGAATAAACTGTATTCTCTTTGAGGTAAGAACTTGGTTTTACACAGACGGGATTATTAAATTAGCCTTTCACAGACGGCTTTTGGGATTTGAAACCAGTCAGGTTCTTTTAAAATTGTTTAATTTCTTTTGAATTATAGGTTCTTAAAGGCGGGTATTTTAGTTCTGTCTAATGCCCCCTTTCTAAAAACCGTATGGAGGCCGCTTTGTACAGGACACACAGCAGGTGTTTAATAAGTGCTTGGTGAATGAATTCAGCTCTTAGGAACTCAAGCCTGGCTGTGCTATCAAAGGCTTCTGCCCTCTTCCCTGTAATTGACCATGCTGGGAACGCCTCTCTTCTAATCAGTGCCTCTGTTCAAAGGTGAAAGGAACGCTTAGATGCAGGTTAAAAATAGAACACAAATCCTCCAGCCACCCGGCACAGTGCTGCATGCTAGATCTGGTGGGAGGGAGGAGAAGGGAGAGAGAGAGAGAGAGAGAGAGAGAGAGAGAGAGAGAGAGAGAGAG